AAGAAGTGGGGGTCGACTGCGCATGTTCTAATTCCATATTAGCATAGAAATCAGTTATAAAACAAAACTCTACTTTGCAATTTTATAGGATACCCCAAATGATCAAAGGGATATCGATTTTGTCATAAAGATCAAGGGCTCATTGAAATCAGAGATGCTGAGTTCTTAGAAGATTTTATCGAAAAAAAACTACTTGTAGTGGATAATGACAATCCACTTAATATCATAGATGACTTAGAACCACTACCTACATTAGATATGAATAACCCTAATCAACATGATGATGTTGAAGTACCAACACATAATGTTAACTGGTCAAAGCTCATCCATCATATCTTGATGATTTCTATGTCCATATGAGTGAGAAGATAGACAACTTTATTGATCTAGATGAAATACATGACCCTTTTGACTTCAATGATACTATGAAGTCACAAGAATCTCAAGAATGACTTAATGCCATGAAAGAAGAATTTGATTCTATTGAGAAAAATAAAGTTTGGGATTTATGTGATTTACCATCAGATATAAAACCTATAGGTTCTAAATGGGTACTTAAAAGGAAGTTAAAATCTGATGGATCACTTGATATATTTAAAGCTAGGTTAGTAGCAAAGGGTTTTACTCAAAGAAAGGGAGTCGACTATGTTGACACTTATTCTCCAATTGCAACGTTTATATCCATTAGAATAATTTTGGCAATAGTTGCATATTATGACCTAGAACTTTACCAAATAGATGTAAAGACTGCATTCTTGAATGGTGAACTAAATGAAACCATCTACATGAAGCAGCCTGAGGGCTTCATAATTAAAGGCTAAGAAAATAAAGTATACAATTAAATAAGTCTTTATATGGTTTAAAACAATCTTCAAGACAATGGTACTTAACATTTCATGACGTCATCCTACATATAGGATATGTAGTAAATAGATTGGACCATTGTGTGTATGTCTTGAAGAGTTGGAGTCAATTCACAAAATTATCATTATATATAGATGACATCCTAATAGCTGAAAATTACTTAGAAATTATTGATAAGACTAAGTCATGGCTTTCTTCTCGGTTTGAGATGAATGATATGGGAGAAGCATCTTTTGTCATAAGCATAAAAATAACTAGAGATAAAAAATAAAAAATGTTGTGTTTGAGCTAAGAGAGATATCTTGACTCTGTTCTCAAAAGATTTAAAATGGAAAATTTTTAGCCATTGCCTACTCAGATTGAAAAGGGAGTAAAGTTGTCTAAGAAGGATTGTCCAGTAGAAGGACAAGAAAAGCCTAACGTTCCCTATGCACGAGCTATTGTCAGCTTGGTATATGCAGTACGATATACAAGGCCAGATTTAAGTTATGCCATAGGATTTGTTAGTAGATATCAAAGTAATACAGACATAACTTATTGGAAAGCGGTTAAAAGAATTCTAAGGTACATTAAGGGAAAAAAACATCTAAAATTGTGCTTTCAAATAGATAAGCTTGAAGTTATAGGATATTTAGATTCAAATTTTGCTGAAGAACGATTATAAATCCATCTCAAGACATATTTTCCTCTTTGGAGGGGCTGATGTTTCTTTGTTTAGCAAGAAACAAGGGTGTGTAGCTAGATACACACATGAAACAGAATACATTGCATGTAGCACTGCTTGTACTTTTGTCATCTAGATAAAACACTTCATAGATAACTTGAAGCTGCAAATTATCGACGGATCGATCAAAATATTTTGTGATAATCAAACCACAACTAAATTATTTTAAAGTGGAGCAAATAACTCCAAAGGAAGACATATAAATGTCTAATATCACTACATGCAGGATGTAGTTGAGAAAGGTGAAGTAATTGTTAGTTACTTGCCCTCATCAGACATGATTGCTGATCCATTGATAAATGGTATGAGTGTAGAACTATTGTCTAATCATAATAGCTTAATGGGACTTAAATATGTTTAAGTCAGACAGTTTTCATGAGTGAGAAATCTGCAGTAGCGTGAAAATCGTCACGATAGACGTTTGTTATGAGAGACATATCCGCAAAAGCGTGAGAAAACCTCATGACAATATTTTCTTAAAGGTCATACTCAAAAGAGAGAGTATGCATGTGACTTATTATGCTCGCCCGTCATAGCCAAGTGGGAGATGTTGACATATATGGCTATGAGACCTTACGTGTCTTAGCCTACATTTGGGAGAATAAAATATATCCAATTGTCATATGGTCCAACATCCATATGAACGTAACCCTTTGTTTTCTCAGACACCCATTGGAGATTAGGGAACTTTTCGCTTTCTCAAATACTCATTGGATAAATACAACGGTTACCCCTTATTTTTCTTATAAAATGGGAAGCAAGTGAGAGGATGAAGACACAAGAAATATGTATACTCTCTCTCTCTAAAAGTGAAGGACTCAAGAAAAATCCATGCTCTACGATCACCAGCCTCATGGCATCTGTTCTCTAATTTTGGGTTGTTCTCGCGCTCCATCAATTTTTCACTAACAGCATGTACATGTCGAAGCATATAATAATTGCTAAATGATTTGCTACTCCCATAAGAGCTTACTATGAATTCCCTTGTATTAAAGCTCAAGCAAGGATATTTTTTTCAACCCCAAATTTTAGGAAAAAAAAGAAGAAAAAAATTTAAATCTCTACATGCCTAAAAAAATTAACCTCTCAAGACTGAAGAATAACCCATCCGAGACCGCAAGATTTAGGTGTTTAATAACTCAAAATTCAAATATTTTCCATGAAAATAATAATCTCATGACAGTTATATAGATCTCAAAATTTTAGATTTTAGAAAGAAAAATGGTTTGATGGAGTTGTAGCCCTATAAAAAAAAGAGTAAAACCTCATCTCATAACTTATCGAAACTTGCAATTCAAGTATTGGAAAATCATTACATCGATAATCTTGGCTTGAATGTTATAGTTGTGGAAAAAATTAGCATTTCAAAGATCCAAAAATATTTTGTATTGTCGAAAGTGCTTTCTAAATGAAGATTTGAGATGAAGCTTTATTTTGTTTTCATAAAGCCTAGGCCTTAGAGAAACCTCATGCTTCAAAAAATTCTCCCCATTAGGTCTACTGCGGGAGGGAGATGCATAGTATACTCCCACAAAAAGTATTGTATACATGCCCATAATAATTTGATGGGTGCATTTTGTATAGAGTCGGGGCTCTAAACCATCAAACTAGAGTGCACCTTCAAATACTGTCGAGAAATGTGGTTTCAATATTAGAAATATTTGTGACTGCTTTAAAATTTATTTTCATTGCTAATTATAAAATCCAAAGCTTCAAAAATCGAGCAGATTGAGAAGATCTATGAAAACTTGCAAATCTTGAAAATTTTGACAGTAAAAAATGCATTACAAGATACATTATTTCCAAAACTTGGAATCAAATTTTTCTGATGTCCATGCATCTTGACGTCGAGATGATCAATTTGAGGATATTTGAGCATCAAAACTTCTTCTAGCGAAATTTTTAAGCCTCAGCTCTATATAATCTTTTTCCTAATTTAAATAAAAATTATTGGGAGACCCATAAAAAGAGTGAGAGAGAGAGAGGCCGCACACAGAAGGGGAGAAGAACCGCCAGTATTTGTAGATGGGCCCTTTGTAAAAAGCGGGGGTAAAGATGGAAACATGAGACAGGTAAGTCGGGTTTGGACGGTCCACCGTTCCTATTCTTTCTTTCCACAAGGGAAAAATAACTTTCTAAGGAAAAGTACAAAAAGCCTCCAAGACTACGCATTATGTGCAACATACATCGAGCGTAATTTTTTTTTTCCCTCCAAAATACACTCTATGCAAATACCCCCAATCAAAAGAAAAAAAAAAAAACCTAAACTATCCTCCCTTGCTTTTATTTGACCCACGCCTCTTTATCTTCTATCCACCAAAATACGGCTCCGGCATTCAGTGCACTGCGAGAGTAGGGCTCTTGCACTGTATAAAGTGCAGTCCAGTAGTAGGGCTCCGACATGCGTTTTGGCAGTAGGGCATCGATACTATGTAAAGTATGGTGCCGCAGTTGCAAATGGTTGTCTGACAGTTGCAAAGAGCGGTCCGATTTACTGGATTCTAAGACTATAAAACGAAATAAAAGACAATATGACAGTACTTAGTTTCGATAGGATAGTTATCTTAGGGTGATCTGGGCTACAACAATGTGATGGTGCGAGAGATTTTAGGGTGGTCTGACACTTGTGCGCGCCAGCAATGTGAAGGTGGGATCTGGCAATAACCAATTGGGTTCAAAAGAACTCTGGCAAAAATGATTTTGTATAAAAAAATGTATTTCTATTTTAAAAGATGGAACATTTTTTCTTGGGGGTATTTGCGTAAAAGTCTAGTTTGGAAAAAAAGTGGACGAAAAATTCAGTTGGGTGAGTTGTGCAACAAGAGTGGTGTGGAGGTTTTTTTGTAATTTTTCCACCCTTAAGACGGACCAGATCTCCTCCCTATCTGCCCAGAACCGAACATAGTCCGTCCGATCTTCCCCGCCCTTTTCTCCGAAGTAAAGTCGCCCGCGGTGTACGCATCATCTGTCGTCAATTTGGGCATCCAATTACGTTACGACACCTGGTGCGAGAGAAAACTGAGTCTCGTGTTAGCAAATGACGAAAAGACCCTCTCTTGACTAAACCAAACCAAACCATTTGCACACGACTCTGAGCCCACAAAGTGACGAAATTGCCCCTCGCGCCGTCTGGGTTTCAGTGGGGATGCAGAAATTTAGTGGTATTCTAGAGGGTAAAACAGTAATCAGTCATGTGAGGTCGTTTAGAGTCAAAGGAGAGGGAAACAGTATGGCTGGCGACGGCCGGACACATTTCCTGCACTTTCTCTCACTCTCTCTCTAAAATCTGTCTCTCTCTAACATTTTCTCTCTCATAGTTAACGTATCCCAGTGTCCAATCGGTTAACCATGGTCCAAATTTAACTGGGGTTGGGTTTGACCAGCTCCACCTTACTGCAGAGACGAGGGGAGAGAGAGAGTGTGTTATTTGGTGGGTGGACTGAAAAACCCCTTCCCTACTGTGTTCTTCTCACCCTCTGCATTCTCCCTGTCCCTTTTCATTCCCATTGCACTTTCTCTCAAATTCCTCCATACTTCACTGGTAAGCCTAGAGAGAGATAGACTTTTATTCATCGTCCTCTCGCGGATTGTGTTCTCTCTGTTTATATGTTGTTTTGATTGTTTTTATCTTGGGGTGGCTTTTCAGATTCCAAAGAGAGTTGTTTTCTTTTTGGGGGATTTTTTTTTTAAGGTTTTGAGATTCTTTTTATCTTGTTTTGTGTGGATTCTGTTTTTCAGTTGGTGCTTGATCAGTGGTTTGCAAAGGTGTTGCCTTTTATCTTTTTCTGATGTTTATAATAGTTTTGGATCTTTTTGGAGGATCTGTTTGTGTTAAAGGCAGTTTTTTGGTGGGTTGGATTTTTTGGTTAGGGTTTTTCTTCTTAAATTGGATTTCTCTTTGCTTTGCTGAATTATTAATTTCTTATTTAGTGATGGAACAGTACTGTGTGGGACTGGACAGGGGGATTTTTTTTTTGGAGTCTTATCTTCTTGATTTAGATGATATCGATGGTGAATTTGGGTTCGAATTATTAGCTTGTTTTTTTCTTAATTTTTTTAACCCTGATAAAGGGTAATGTGTGGTTTGAGCTTCTATGTTATTAATATTTATTCATGTTTTGTTTCATCGCTATCTCACTCCTCATTCTCTTTTACAGGGGAGTCTAGTGATCAGTGAGTACTTAATCCGACTGAACTGGTAAACTGCTATCTCTTCGGAAGAAATACATTCGCTCTTCTCAAAGAAATCTAGTGATCAGTGAGTTCTCAATATAACTGAGTGCTGGTAAATTGTTATCTCTTCAAAGAAAAACATGCGTGTTCAGCGATGATTTCTGCAAATTTACTTGAAATGGAGGCCCAAGCACAGGTACGGCACCCAGGGTTTCAATTTGAAGGTTTTAACTTCTCTTTCTTGATTAGTGCTTCAGTGGCCTTTTCACTATTCAATCTCCTAGACCTACCCAACAACAGACTTTTCTTTATCCAGTAAAATAAATTGGGGCTCTTTCTGCTCGCCCACAAATCAAAGAAACCAATTTGGCGCAGCAATAATTGGATGAATAAAAGCCAAAGGTAGCAATTTGGCTGATATATTCAAATCTTCAACAAAATTTTCTTTGGGTCTCAACAACTTAAAAAACCACAATAAAATGGGTGGTCTTTGCTCAAGGCGAGCAACTGTGGACAATTCCCCTGATGGTAGTCGCGAGGTTGCCCATGCAAATGGTTACACGGCTTCAAATAATGCTTCCGGCATGGGGTACTCATCACACTCTCTAATGTCAAAGATGCCAAGTAATATCGCTCCACCCATGATGATGGAAAACATGGAGAAGCAATTTCGGGAGCCTTTTACCTTTCCCAACCATCATCGCAACTTGAGCGAGCCTGGTGAGCCTCAATTGTTTAGGGCTCTTTCGGATAAGTCGAGGTCCACAAAGTCCAAGGCAGGGGCCAGCAGCAAGGTTAGTTCACTCTTGCTTCTTTCTTTTTGCTAGAAAGTGATTCTTTTGAAGCATTATACATAAGAAAGTTTGTGTGTATTTGCGGAGATGTGATGTTTGCAATGTGTTTGTTATTTTTTGCTTCTCATTTCATTCATCTATTGTGTTACTGAGTGCTTTTGTGGGTGAGGTGCATTCTTTCAGATGGATTGATCGATTTTTCATTGTTTCATGGAGTATTTTAGTTGAAATTTAGCGGAGAGCGTTTGGCTTCCTAAAGTCAATTTTATCTTTGTTTATTGGTGTTATACTGAATCTTCTATTCTGTTTTTCATTTCACTAAATAGTCTGTCATCATATCTATAATTCTGTGTGGGAATGTTGTTGACCTGAACATTTTACTTGTTTGATTCCTAATCTACATGTTCCATTTTGATGGTTGCCTTTTATTATCCTTACGATTGTGATTGAAACTATGTCCATTGAATGTTCTTATTGTGGAAAATTGCAATCATGTATTATTTGGCAGCTGTTTGAACTGCGGGTAATTGGTGAAATTCAATGGCAAGAAACATACATTTTAAATCTACCTTTGGCTGAAATTCTTCTTGCTGCTTTAAGTTTAATGTTGCGTGTCTATCTAGCAATGAGACACTTAGGAAACTACAGTTTAATGCTGCATCACTTAGGAAACTGCAGTTTAATGCTGCATCACTTAGGAAACTGCCTTAAGTTTAATGCTGCATCACTTAGGAAACTACAGAATATCTTCCTTATGGTTGGTACTTCATCATATGCCTGACTTTTGCCTTTTCACTTTTCTTTGTATCCCTTGAATGTGCAATATATTCCAATGTAATGTAGCATGTTACTTAGAAAATAGATCACATTATAATATTGTAGAGACATACCCTGGGCCACATGAAGTGCCACACACACAGAATAGACATGCAAGGAAGATGCTGTCTTTGGGGGAACGATCACACTTCTGCAAGCAGCTGAAGATAATTTCCTCATTCATTCTATGTCTATTACCAAAGACCTACTGGGGGGAGGAGAAAGTTTGTCAAAGTTTTGGGGATTTCATGTGGAATGGAGATCATTAAGGGGATAAATCTTATTAGTTAAAATTAGTTTTGTAGTTTTGCTTACTGAAGCTGAAGGTAAGTGCTCGTTAGAGAAACTAAATATACGAATCATGAAGGTGGATGTATCGTGGGGAAGGGGCGTGTGAATGGATATCATTTCTTATAAATATATGAAGGCAGGGAGACACTGCTGGACGAGATAAGAAGGATGGCTAGCCTTTCCGATACTTAGAAGGCTATCGTATTCGTGTTGGAGGACGTGAGAGAATAGTAGGACATGATGTTTCTGGAGAAATCAATGGTGTGCAGTGTGCACCCCTTGAGAAGAGATTTCCTGCAATTCTTGATGGCACAAAGGTTACAGTTCTTTCTAACTTCTTAATAAGGGTGACCATGTTTGTTATTTGGACTCTCACTATAAATTGAAATTTGGGAAACGAGGACATGAGGGAAGTAGTTATAGTTCTAAAGATGATATGACGGGTTTGTTTTAGGAAGGGATGTGAGTAAGATGTGGCTTCCCTGGAGTGCCTTAGGACAGTTTTCAATGAAGTTCATGGATGATGCTTTCCGTAGTAAAGGTGGGTTATTTCCTGCTTCCAAGCCTGCACAAGGAAGCTCATCCAGAAGTTTGGGTGGTGTATTTTGTGGCTTGTTATGAGAAAAATGCGCTAAGTTGGTGGATCATGTCCGACTAAACTGTTGCTTTATAATGTATCCTAAACCTATTACATATGCATTGGGTTTACCAGATTCTACCTGAAAGTTTGTGCACCCTATGTAGGTGCTTAGTGGAACTAAATAGAATCAAAGAGGGCGTTGTTGGGCCTGGTGTTCTGGCAAACACATGGGGACTTTTGGAAGAAACAGTTTCTTCATGGGGATGAATCAACAATGTAGAATAAGTGAGGGAAACCTTCGACAGATATTTGGTGAATTAGACACCATCATAAGGGTAACAAAAAGTGGTAAGAGTCGAGAGTTGTGAGGATCATGGCTATGGATGATAAGACCTCTACTTAACTAGTTTCCTCCCTAATTGGAAGCCTAAACCATAAGTTAGTTTTATTCTGAACAAATTCTGAAACCTATTAGATTTCTGGGAGTCAGAAATATGAGAACATTGGGAAGGGAGAACATTTTTAGTTTTAGATCTGCTGCATGGGTGAGTAACCTTGAGGAACCTGTCCAGACTTGAAGCCTAAAAAATACCCCATGTGATATAAATACTTCATCTGAAACGTTTTTTTTGAGAGAAAGTTAACATTGTATTTACCTTAAGCTACATTCATTTGAAACTTAGAATGTAGCTGCTTTTATAGTTGTGTGAAGTAAAAAATATCTCTTACTAAATGTCATTGTCATATACAAGGAATCTGACAACCCCCATATTTGTCAACCTAATGAGTATGGAGTTGGATAGGTCTAATGACTTTGCTCTTGAACAAAACCATTTTCTGGGATCCCGATATTGTTCCATATAAGGCTCCCCAAAGGTAATGCTCAATTTTTAATCTCACTTGATCTTTCATGTCGATATCCTCGTGAATGCTTTGCATCTGTTGGGTATGCTGGTCATTGCTTGAAATTTGTTTCCATTATCATTATTCTGACTGGTGCTCAAATTAGCAGGTGCAAATCTTTCCTCGTACTTTATTCCATACTTCTGTTTATAGCTAAGTGCCATTAGCTTCTTGTCGCTCAATGATGTATTTACCTTAGCTTCACCATATAAACACACTTACCTCTTTTTGCCTCTTTTAGTTTGGAATATGTAGGAGAACCCTACATGTTTTTTTGTGTATATATATGTATATCATCATCATCATCATCATAGCCTTTTCTCTAGTACTTGGGGTTAGTACACGAATCATGGTCCGCCCTTCTGCTCTATTAAAGACCATAGCCTCAGTGAGGCCAAAAGTCCCCATATCTTTTTGGACTACTTCCAACCACATTTTTTTGGGTGTACCCCTTGCCCTTTTCAATCCTTCCACTTGAACTAACTTGCAACTTCTAACAGGTGCTGTATTGGGTCGGTCCACACATGGCCAGCCTACCTAAGTCTACTCTCTCTCATCTTATTGCTTATTGGCGCCACATCTAATATTTTTTGAATGTATTCATTTCGAATTCTATCCCGTCTTGTCTCGCCACGCATCCATCTCAACATCCTCATCGTCACTACATTCATTCTATGGTATATTGTTTTTTGTTTGCCCAACATTCCACCCCCATAGAGCAAAGTTGGTCTCACTGCTGTCTTATAGAACTTGCCTTTCAGTTTCATTGGTATGTGACAATCACATAAAATTCCAGTTGCACATCTCCACTTCGTCCACTTAGCTCTAATTTTGTATGCGACATCTTCTTCAATCTCTCTATTTCCTGAATTATCGACCCAAGATATCGAAAGTGCGGTTTTTTTTGTACTTCCTGGCTGTCAAGTTTAACTACTTCCTCGTCTCTACTCCTATTATTACTAAACTTGCATTCCATATACTCTGTCTTAGTGCCGCTAATTTTAAATGAGAGCATCATTTCAAAGTTCTAATTTTGTGTTGACGCCGTTTTGGGTTTCATCAATCAAAACTATGTCATCTGCAAACAAAATGCACCACGGTACTCCATCCTATCGGTGCCTAGTTAAGTCGTCCATAATTACGACGGATGTATGGGCTCAATGGTGACCCTTGATATAAACCTATTATTACTGGAAACTCAGTCATCTCTCTACTAGTTATTTGCACACTAATTAGTGCTCCATCATGTATATCTCTCACCAAGTCAGTGTATTGTCTGGAGATTCCTTTCTTTTCCACACTCGTCAGATCAAATATCGAGGTACTCTATCATAAGCTTTCTCCAGATCAATAAAGACCATATGGAGGTCTTTTCCTTTTGCTCTAAACTTCTCAATCAATTGCCTAAGTAGGAAAGTAGCCTCGATTGTTGATCTTCCTGGCATAAAACCAAATTGGTTTTCAAATACACACGTTTCATACCTTAGTCGTTGCTCAAGCACTCCCTCCCAGAGCTTCATAGTATGGCTCATAAGCTTGATTTCTCGATAGTTTGCACAATTTTGTATGTCTCCTTCGTTCTTGTAAATAGGTACCACAATGCTTTTCCTCCATTCGTCTGGCATTTTCTTTGTTTTCAACATTGTCTTGAACAATTTCGTCAGCCAGACAATGCCATTCTCCCCCATGTACTTACAAACCTCTATCGAGAAACTATCTTGTCTTAAAGCCTTTCCTATCTTCATCCTTTTCATAGCTTCTTTCATTTTCAACCTAATCCTACAAATGTATTTGACTTCCTCCCTCATTTATACCATCAGTTCCTTCTACCTTTATGTTCCCCATTATATTTGTCATTTAATAATTTTTAAAAATAAACTCTTCACCTTTCGTCAACTCGCCATCCTTCACCCTTGTTGTTCTCATTCTTAATGCATTTAATATGGTTTAGATCCCTACACTTTCTCTCGCATTTTTGCTAATTTGAAGACATCTTTTTCACCTTCTCTTGTTCCCAGTTTATTGTATAGACTATCATAGGCCTTAAGTTTAGCTTTACTTACTATTTGTTTAGCGTTTTTCTTAGTATTTTTATATTCTTTTAAGTTTTGATCGTTTCTACTACATTGTCAAGTTTTATAACATGATCATTTTTCGCTAATGGCCTTCTAAACCTCATCACTCGACCACCAAGTTTCTTTATTAGAATTTCTTTCCCTCCAGATTCTCCTAAAACTTATTTTGCCACTTTTTTGATACAGTCAGTTATCTCATTCTACATAACATTAACCTCATTTTTAGAGTTCCATTTTCCTTCTTTAACTAAGTTATCCCTAAATAAGTCTATTTTCTCATTTTTAAAATTCCACCACCTAGTTCTTGGATACCTATTACTTTCACCGCTTCTTTTCCATGTCTTTATATGCAGACGTCCATAACCACGAGCTTATGTTGGGTAGTCAAATTATTTGCTGGGATAACCTTGCCGTCTTTATATGATGATCGATCTACTTTCTTAATTAGGAAGAGGTCTATCTGGCTTTTATGTGATCCACTTTTATAGGTCATCTCGCTTTTTAAAGTAAGTGTTTGTTATTGCTAGGTCGTAGGCTATAGCAAAATCTAGAATAATACCACCCACCTCATTTCTTTTCCCAAACCCATATCCCCATGCACCCCTTTATATCCTCTACTATCCCTACTTCCTACATAACCATTTAGGTCCCCTTATCCTAAAAGGGTCCTCTCTCCATTTGGCATGTCTTGGACTATTCAATCTATTTCCTCCCAAAATTGTCTCTTAATTCTATCATCTAATCCTATTTGTGGTGCATAAGCACTAATTACGTTAATTATCTCTTTCTCTAATACAAGTTTGATTAATAGGAGCCTATCACCTATTTTTTTGTTTGAGAGAAAGTTAACTTTTGTATTGCTGTAGAGTGTTAGAGTACAGAAGAGGGGTTCGAGAGTACCAACAAGTCGGGTCTCTCGGTCAAAAAATAGGTCAAGAGACCTTGTAGAAAAAATTGGGCTTATAGACTTGTCTGATTACGAAAAATATACTCGTGAGTTACAAAAAAATTGGGGCTTATAGATTTGCCCAATAACAAGATCTGTGCTAAGGTGTAACCAAATGCCTGTACGCCCTCTGTGGTCTAGAGCAAAAAAGGAGATGAACTGGACGGGGTCTTCAGCATGGGCCCTAGCTCCGTCTTTTGCCAGAAGATCGGCGAACTCGTTGGATGTCCGTCAGCTATGCTTTAGGAGCTTATCACCTATTCTTTTGAAATTTATTACTTCATCTTTCAAATCTTTGTCCATTATTATGCCTACGCCATTTCTATTATCCTTTCATGTGTACCAAAGTTTATACTTATCTATTTCTTTAGCTTTTTCTCATTTCCATTTAGTTTCCTGTGGACAGACTATGTTTACTCTCCTTCGTGTCATTGTATCCATTAACTCTCTCTCTCTTTCTCTCTCTCTCTCTATATATATATATATATATAGAGAGAGAGAGAGAGAGAGAGAGAGTTAACAACCCCTCAAAATACAAAGGTTAATGTTAGAATGAGTTGTGATGGGTGTATTTATTGAAAAAGTTATTTCTGTTTGTTTAAAAAATTATGTTAATAGGTAACTTAGTTATTAAATAAGGGCACATTAGAAATTTTTACAAAAGTGCTATGGTATTTTGGAAGTTAGTGTCCTGAAAAAGTTAACTTTCTCTCAAAAAATAAAAAATGTCCATAAAGAGGGGGCTACACCTAACTTCATTTGGAGCGCCATAAACTTTACTGCAGAGGAGCCACAAATGCTAAAGAGGTCCTGACTATGATATTCATGCCTTCCCCTCCTAATCCCTATGAATCACACCATAGCCTCCAAGCCCTGGATTACCTTGGGATCATCCAATTGATGGATAATTTTCTGAATGTGGCTTGAGCTGAAACATTTACTCATTCATTTACCGATATTGTTTACATATTAAGTTATTAATGCTTGCCATTTGTAACTTCTATTAATGTTTATCTTTGATTCAGATGTTTCTAAAGTTTTTCACTTAGTTTGTTAATTAATGTATCTGTTCCATTGATGATTTTCTGTAAAACTGGATATTGTTTGTTAAGTTTTTATGTTTTGTATAATGGTCTTGCCTTGTGGGTTCTCAGTCCTCTCTAGCTTGTTTCAGGTGTCAGAAGTGGGCTCCCTTTTGGGAAGAGCTGGGACTGTCGGGTTTGGAAAAGCAGTGGAGGTTTTGGACACTCTTGGAAGTAGCATGACAAATTTGAATCTGAGCAGTGGATTTGTCTCTGGAGTGACATCGAAAGGAAATAAAATAGCTATTCTATCATTTGAGGTTGCCAACACTATAGTCAAGGGTGCAAATCTTATGCAATCCCTTTCAAAGGAAAATATAAGGATTTTGAAGGAAGAAATTCTTCCTTCTGAAGGTGTGCAATGTTTAGTGTCTCGAGATGTGGATGAACTCCTACAAATTGCTGCTTCTGACAAAAGGTGCGCAGACCAAACTGATGATTGCAGTGCTGATACTCTGTCAGAGTAAAGACAGTCATAAGTATTGTGGTTGTTCCTTTCAGTTTTAATTTATGCTGATTGTTACAGAGATGAATTAAATATATTTTCTGGAGAAGTAGTCCGATTTGGCAATCGATGTAGAGATCCTCAGTGGCACAACTTGGACCGATATTTTGAAAAGTAACTACGAAAATTTGTCTCCCCTGTTAATTTTAGCTGGAGTTAATTGCTTTATATAAGCAAATATCATTATAGTAACTTCCATTTCTAATTACTGCTTATACTCTTCAGATTGGGATCAGAACTTATGCCTCAAAAACAATCCAAGGAGGAAGCTGAAGCAGTAATGCACCATTTGATGAATTTGGTTCAGTATACAGCTGTGAGTATATCATTCTCCAAGTGCTAAAAAAAGGATGGGCTTTTCAACATTTTATGGAGACCGCAACAAATATTCTCTGCCTTATTATTCATGTCAGATCTGAATTTTGTGTTGCATATCGCAGAACTATCAGTGACAACATGCCCCTAGATGTAGGACTTTTAAAATATGAAATATGGAAGTTCAATATGGCTTTAGTAGAACTTTCTGGTTACCAACTTAAACTATGCTAATGGCTGATCGATGGTAATGTTTTCTGTTCCATGTTGAATAACATTAGGCTGGTTTTCTTTCACAGCATTATTATGATTAAAAGTGGTCTTTATTTGCAGTAGAAAGGGCTTGGTTAGTTGGGGCACTTGTGGCCTTGGAGGTAGAGAGTTAAACTTTTTAAGGTTGAAAAGATGGCCCTTGAACTGGGGTGTTCTCTTTGCCTGACATCCCTGATCTGGAACATCTGAAGTTCCAGACCACCGTAGTGGTTCATCTAACATTCCCATGCTAATGGGTTGTTTGGTGAAGTCTGTTTACTGCCTCTTTATTATGCAACATTTAAATATTTTAAACTTTCCTATGGTATATTGGAAGGCCATTTGGTGAACTCTGTTTGGGTGGTTTTGAGTCAAAGACTTGAAATAGATTACAAAGAGTTCACTGTGGTTTACTAACGGCTGTATTGTCTAGCACCACCATCAATCTCAGAAACCCTACCAAACGAGTTTGTTTTGATCAGAGAAGTGGTGCAGTGCTTATTTAATGCCTCAAGGCTAAGGTTTGAACACTGTTAAGAGGGTGTGTTCAAATTCACGGCAGTTATAAACTACCATGGGCCAGTTTTAAAAAGGGAAAATATCATATGAACCCATTAAATGTATTATCAATTTCCCTCCCTTTATTTTACTAACAAGTGGCATTAAAATTTTTAGGAATCTGCCTTTTTTCTCCTCTTCACGACTCTCCCCTGCTTTTATATTATTCTCCTCATTATCTACCCTAAAAAATATTCTCTACGTATATTCAAGTCCTTTCTCTCTCATCTTTTATTTCTCATATCTCATAACCAAGAACCTGACCCCTTTCTATCCGTCTCTCACTCTTCCTGCCCCTTCTCTTGATGAGCTCTTTCTCTGTCTCTCTCTTGCTATTCCCTTCACTACCTCTCCAACTTCTAGCCCAAGCCCACCTTGAGCTCTCTCTCTCTCTCTATTGTATGGAGCGAGAGAGGGTAAAAGGTAAAATGTACTGTATATATATAGAGGGAGTGTGTCTGCTTGTAGTCAGCAAGAGGACAGACAGCCGACCAGGGAATTGCGTTCGGGTGGAAGAAAGCTTGAGTTTCTCCAAAACACTGAAATTATTGATACACTCCAAGATTCTTTTTCTTCTCCTTTTTCTGCTAAAATCTACTGGGTAATATCGAGAGAGAATGTCTAGGGTTCTGGCAGTTTTGAGAGTAAGGTGGCATTGTTTGCTCTATTTTTCTTGTTGTTTTGGTTGTTGATTTGATATGGACGTTTCAGGGTCCTTTTGGGGTTCATCTGGTTCCATGTGTGGTAAAACTGGTGGTCCGGGAGGTTCTAGTTGGGAATTATGGGCGCATAGGTTGGAGGAGGCAAAGGAAACTGTAGACATAAAAGTCACTGAAGAGAGAAGATTTGGGGAATTTGGAGAAAGCAAGAGAGGTGTAGAATTCGATGGGATTTGCAGAAATGAGAGGTGTAGAATTCAATGGGATTTGCTGAAGGTTAGGGCTTTCAGAGGTCGCCCTTTACAAAATAACAATGTTGAACGTTTTTCTCAACAAAATTACAATCTCTCTCTAAGTTGCAGTCTCTAAAAAATTAAATTGCATACACTTTCTCTATGTTGCAGTCTCTCTCTAAGAAATTAAATTGCACTCTCTCTCTTTCTATGTTGCAGTCTCTCTCTAAGGAATTAAATTGCACGTGCTCTTTCTCTATGTTTCAGTCTATCTCCAAGGAATTAATCAATACAAGGTTACAATCTCTCTTTCTCTCTCTAGGTTGCAGTCACTCATTCCCTCTCAAGTCTATTATCTCTCATACTCTCTAGCTTGCAGTTTCTCTTTAAGGAATTATGGCTCCTTAAGCCACCAGCCATGCTTATGTGTTGAGCACTCTTTTATCTCTCTCTTCCTAACCAAAATTCACAGATCACCTAAAGCAGAATACAACACTGAGCCTTCTGTGCTCATGGCCAAAGTGGTAATGGCAGATGTGTCTTTCTAGTGTGGCCACAAGCTAATATTTTGTCCCCTTTTCTCTTTGCCCAAAGATTGAATCTTTTTTCTGCAGAGAGAGAGAGATGGGTTTGCAAAAGGTGGGCATGGGAGGGATGGGAAGACGAGAGAGAGATGGGTTTGCAAAAGGTGGGCATGGGAGGGATGGGAAGACGAGAGAGTAGAGAGGACTAGAGAAGGGTTTGGTTATTGGGTCATGGGGAACAAGAAATAGAAGAGGGAAGAGATAGAGGAGTTGAATATGATTTAGGTACTTGTTTATGGTAGATAATTAGGAAAAAAAAAAAACAACGGGGGAGGGACGTTTATGTAGGGGTGAGATGATAGATTATAAAAACTTTTAATGCTGCTTGATAGTAAAAAAGAGGGAGGGGCTACTGTGAAACTGTGAGCATTTCAAGGGGTTTGCCCAATATTTCCCCTTTAAAAAATGCATTCAAATCAACTCCATTTGATCTGAAACTTGGGTTGATGCATTTTTATGTCTTCAATAATCTACTGTTCAAGTTTCAGGACATTTGGAATTCATTTGCTGTTGTTTTCAAATTCACCGGGTTGAATTGCTGTTTATGAACCATTATTCTGCGATGAGGAATTGAATTGGCTAAAAGAAGGCCTTAACGACCTCATTTTTATTTTAAATTTGGTGGACAAGTAGAAGAAGCGCGCTAACTAACACGAGGACAACCAGTGGTGAGACAAGTAGGTTTTTAGTGGCAGTAGGCCTACATCAGGGATCAACATTGAACCAATATCTTTTTGCTTTGGTTATAAATGAGTTAACTAGGCATCTAAAGGATGTCTCGTGATGTATGTTGTTTGCGGATGGCATAGTTTTGTTTGATAAGACCTATGATGACGTCTATGCAAAGTAAGGATGCTTTAGAATATAAAGGTTTTAGAAATTAGCCGGACTAGATAGATTATATGGAATGCAAATTTTGTAATAATAAGAGTAGAAACAAAGCATTGGTTAAGATTGATGGCCAAGAAGTACCTCAAAGAGATTATTTTTGATATCTTGGATCGATAATCGATGAAAGGAGAAATTGAGGAAGATATTACTCATAGAATTAAAGCTGGGTGAAAGAAGTGGAGATATACTTTTGGAGTCCTATGTGATTGTTACATACCAATGAAACTGAAGGGGCAGTTTTGTAGGAGGGCTGTAAAACCAGCCATACTTTGTGGGATGGAATATTGGGTGGCTAAGTAACAACATATCCAAAGTATAAGCATACTGAGATGGGGCTGTTGAGAATCTTGAGATAGATGAGTGGCAAGATAAATAATGGTAGAATTTAGAATGAATAAATTTGAGTGAATTTAGGGTTAGCTCCAATAGGCAATAAGATGAGGGAAAGTAGACTTAGGTAGTATGGTCTTGTGCAGTGTAGACCAAGAACAATATTGGTTAGGAGGGGTGTTTTGGTTCAAGTAGAAGACTCTAAAAGGGTAAGGGGAAGTCTTAAAAGAACCTGGATGAGAAGTAGTGAAAAACGATATGGTGACTTTGAAAGGAGTGGCTATATGGAACTCAACTTATTAAATACAAAAAATATTTTATTTTATTTTATTCAATATACTGGAATTCTACTTACATGGGCCACTATATTATGTTGTAAATCAAAATTAATGCCCTAGGTACAACCTAGAATCTTTACGTTTATTACGAAAGCAAATAAAAACCACCCGGGAGCTATAAACAATCTTCCACTATAGTTTTGAGTACAACATATGTTCTGGAAATTCGCAAAAAAACATAAAATATGATTGAAGAATAATTAAATCTACTGGGAAGACTTACCAGATGTTGCCTGGTATTACCCTCACAGGTCTTAATGCACTCCATACTTGATTCCCTGACTGATGACACATTTTTTGTCCCTTTTGACATTGCAGGAGTTTCAGAGATGGGAAGCTTTCATAGGCAGTATCTCTTACTCCAGGGTTTTGGAGAGCATGGAAGCCTAACTAGGGTCTGTAGAAACCCTTAGGAACAAATTAGGGCTGGCTTGAAGGCATTGAATCCTCCTATAGTTGGGCATACCCTTTTTTCTTCTCCAAATTGCAAAACCCTAATTAGGGTTTCAATGTGCCACCCTTGTCTTATCAAAATTTGGGTGGCGTGACCTTTTTTAGAAGGGGGCGAGAGAAAAGGAATTTTTTAATGAAAGAGAGAAAGATTTGGTGCATGGAGAGAGAAATATGTGTGATGAGAGAAAGGGGCTCAATGGTGTTTAACTAGAAAATATTCCTTCTTCTATTTGGATTAGAATTCCTTCCTTAGGTATTGCCTATCCAGTGGCAGATCTTGACTAATAGGAACTTTGGAAATCTGTGGGGTGTGAGAGAATAAATATGAGCCATCTATTCCACGAATCAACCATCATGATTTTCAGAAGATTATTATAAACTTTATCCTCTTATAATTTGACCCAAGTCCAACTTCTATTTAAATTAGAATTATAACCAATCCAAAACTTCCGAATATCTTTCCAAAACTATTGGAAGTCGAAATAATTAGTATTTCGAATTTACAGTAGAAATAAAATTTTTAAATTATGAAAAAATCTATAAAAATCATAAAAACATTTCTAATGCCAAAATAAAATAATTTAGAAGTGGACTGGTATCAATGATCCACTACTGTTTTCTCAAGAAGCATGATCCACTACAGTTTTTTCATCCAACCAAATAAAGACCCATGACCTATAGTCTCCAAGAAGGGACTCATGAT